AAGTATATATAGACAAGTAAATATTCATATATATTCTTAGATGGCTTAGATGAAATAGTGGAAAATCTTAAGAAAATAATATAGACTGAAAAAAATACAGAATATCTATAGACAAGAAGGTCCAATTATTGGACAATAATGATTTACAAAGCCCTTAGACAACCAAAAGAGATCAAATCCTTTTTTTAAAAAATAAAAATAGACCATGTGATAAGTGGTAAAGATATGATGTTAAGAATTATGCAAATAGGTTTCAATCAGCATTTAACTAGTTATATTGTTCTGGGCAAGAGACTTCCCTTCTCTGAATTTCATTTTATTCATGTCAAAAATTTGGAGAGTATTATTTAAGGTTTCAGAAATATTGTGAGGGTTTAAGAATGTACATAAAATATGTGACACAAGAGTGGCATTAAATAAATATTAGCTTTATTAGTCATAATAGTTTTATAGTTCAGATTTCATAAATTATACTGCCAACACAAGCTAATAAAAAAAGTGGGTCCCTGGTATATTTAAAATGGGAGACAAAATTCATTCATAAGCTTATAATCACACTTATGCTTTTGACTTCTGAAGTGTAAGAGGATATGAAAGACAGGTGAAATGCATTTACTTGCTCAGAAATGCTTCTGAAAAACTTTCTAAAAAGGAGCAAGTAAGTTCTACCATCGTGGCATTTTGGCTCTGTTACTTACTCTAGAGAATTTTGAAGGCTAAAGCTTCCTCCCCAAAAGTGCATAGTAAAAGTGTTATGAAAGTCCACACAAATTCAGATAGCAGAATTTGGGGACATTTAAAATCTTGTATGTCCTGTTATAATAAGGGGACTTGAATAAGCTGCAGGTTATTTTCTGCAAATGAGGGCAGCTTAGAACCATGTAGTCATTTGGGACCTACTGGCTGATGAATGAGATTAATATTTTCCTCCTAATCTGGGAGAAGGAAACGAATGGAATGAAGCCCAAGGCATTTGAGGTAGAAGGAAAGACCCACTGTTACTTATAAATGGACTCTCAGGAAAAAAGTTTCCCATCTTTGCAGTTTTATGATGAAACAGATAAGCCTGTGAAATGACCTGGGTCAGTTGGGACTCAGCTTGACTCAAAGTTAAGACAAGAGAATCAATAGGCGACTGTATGTATGATATAGATCAACTCAAAAAGTACTGAGGCACATCTTTCCTTAGTAACCATCAAGATAACTAGTACATCAACACTGTCCAAGTAGATAGGGAATTTCCTCAACATCCCAGGTGTTGTCACTGCATTTGACCCAATGAGAGTGGACTTGTTCATTCAGTGATGCATCCAATATCCTACACAGAATAATGCAATAAAGTTAGGCACAGAGGTGCACGCCTATATTCCTAGTGACTCAGGAAGTGAGGTAGGAGGATTCCAAGTTCACAGAAACTTGGTGAGGTCCTAAGCAACTTAGCAAGACCCTATCTCAAAATAAATAAAAAATAAGAAGAACTAAGAATGTAGTTCAGTGATTAAGTGTCCCTGGGTTCAATCTCCAGTACCAAAAATAAATAAATAAATAGGAAATAAGGAGTATGAGTTCTAGACTCAAATGATTTGGGTTCAATTACCAGCTCTCTTGCTCCTTAACTCTGAAACATTAGTTAAATTGCTCAACCTCACTAGTCCTTAATTTCCTAATGTGCAAATGAAGGCTCATTGAATGAGACAATGCACATAATATACTAGTTTGACATCTGGAAAACATGGAAAAATTGTAGCTGTTGTAACTGTCATTATTATTATCAGTCACAGTATATTTCCTAGTCATGCCTCAAGGAAATATTAAATAAAGCCAAAAAAATTTACCAACCCAAATACGCCAAAGGTCATTGAGGTGCATTCTCAATGACAGAAATCCACCTTAAATGCAAGGGAAATCTGTTACATAATGCTGTGGCACTTGGGCATCAACTTCATTCCTAATTATTAAAATCTTTTCACTTGCATTCTCTCTTATTTCCTTTCTTCTCTCTCTTTATTGCCTTTCCATACTCTATTTATTGCAAATAAGCAACGAAATTGAAATCCTTACTTTAAACATCTTTGTCTCTAAGAGCTCCACACTTAAAAAAAAACATGCAGTATTTTCCAAATGGGCAAGGAGAGGAAATCCACTGAATGGAATTGCTCATGAATTTAGGAACTCAGGTATTTGAAGTGACCTCTGTGTCAGCAAATTTGCTGAACCATTGATTTGCTAATACAGGGAACATTAATAGGCCATGATTAGGCCTAACTTCAAATGAGAAAAAACTCTCAAAGAAGTAATGGGCTTTCAGGCCATACATTTTGCATCTTAATATCTAGAGTGATTCAGCAGTATACTGCTCAAGCCCAGGACTACAGGGCATGCCTTGGGGTGAAGCTTGGGATAAGGTATAAAGAATGGAATTGCAGGGCTGGGGGTGTAGCTCAAGCCGTAGCGTGCTCGCCTGGCATGCGTGCGGCCCGGGTTCGATCTTCAGCACCACATACAAACAAAGATGTTGTGCCCGCCGATAACCAAAAAATAAATATTAAAATTCTCTCTCTGTCTCTTTAAAAAAAAAAAGAATGGAATTTCAAGGTTAAAGTGACTCAGAAGTCATTTCAAAGTAAAAAATGAACCCCTATAACTCATCCTGCACGAAAATCCACTCAAAGTGTATAAAGGATTTATGCATTAGACCAGAAACCCTGTGTCTACTAGAAGAAAAAGTAGGCCCAACTTTCCATCATATCGGCTCCGGAATAGACTTCCTCAATAAGACTCCTAAAGAACAAGAAGTAAAATCAAGAATCAATAAATGGGATGGATTCAAACTAAAAAGTTTCTTCACAGCAAAGGAAACAATCAAGAATGTGAAGAGAGAGCCAAGAGAAATGGCAGAAAATCTTTAATGCTTTAATCTTCAGGATATACAAAGAACTCAAAAACTTAACACCCCAAACCCCAAATAACCCAATCAATAATCATCAAAGGAACTGACTGAACAGGCGTGTCACAGAAGAAATATGAATGGTCAAAAAGGCCAAATGTTCTTTCTGACAAGTGGATGCTGATCCATAATGTGAGGGGGCATGGAAAAAAATGGAGGAACTTTGATTGGGCAAAGGGGGAGGGAGGGGAGGTAAGGAGAAGGGGTATGGGGGCAGGAAAGATAGTGAAATGAGATGGATGGACATCATTACCCTAGGTACATGTATGACTGAACAATGCTACATCATGTATAACCAGAGAAATGAACAGTTGTGCTGCAATTGTGTATAATGAATCAAAATGCATTCTGCTGTCTTATATAGTTATTAAAATAAATAAACAAATAATTTTTAAAAAATATGAAAAAATATTCAAAATCTCTAGCAATTAGAGAAAGGCAAATTAAAACCACACTGAGATTCCATCTCACTCCATCAGAATGGCAATTTTCAAGAATACAAGTAACAATAAATATTGGTGAGGATGTAGGGAAAAAGGTTCACTCATATATTGCTGGTGGGACTGCAAATTGGTGCAACCACTCTGGAAGACAGTATGGAAATTCCTTAGAAAACTTGGAATGGAACCACCATTTGACCCAGCTATCCCACTCCTCAGTACATACCCAAATGACTTAAAATCGGCATACTACAGTGACACAGCCACACCAATGTTTATAGCAGCTCAATTCACAAAAGCTAAGCTACAGAACCAACTTAGGTGCCCTTCATCAGATAAATGGATAAAGAAAAACGTGGTATATATACACAATGGAATATTATTCAGCTATAAAGAATAATGAAATTATGGCATTTACCAGTAAATGGATGGAACTGGAGAATATCATGTTAACTGAAATAAGCCAGTCCCCCCAAACCAAAGATGGACACGTTTTCTCTGATATGTGAATGTTAACCCATAACAAGGGAGGGTAGAGAGGGGATGTATAGAAATTCATTTGAGTAAACAAAGGGGAATGAGGGGAGAGGGGATGGGAATGAATCTCACACATGAATACATGATCAGTGTAACTCCACATCATGTTCAACCACAAGAATGGGATCAAAATTATAATGGGTTGTACCACATGTATGTATAATATGTCAAAATACACCCTACTGTCATTTATATCCAAACAAACAAAAAAAAGATTAAAAAGTGAAGTTTCTTTTGCTCTTATTGCCCTTCACAGAAAAGGGCATACACTGTCTTCCCAGCAGTAGCTGCAGCAGCACGTGTTACACAGTTTAGAAAGGAAAATGATACTGCATTTTTTTTCCCTTCTTTGTGAAGGAAGAATGGAAAAAAGGATCTTGTTTGTGAGCTGGGATATTTTTCAACACCTGGAGAATTCCTGGGCCCACCTACAGACGTTCTCTTAAACTTGTAACCAACCCTTACAATTTCTCCCAATCATTGCCAAAATGATTTCTTATGAGTTAAAAGGATAAATAAATATGCTTCAGAAGTAGGCTCCTGAGCAGGGCTTACATAACCCAGGGTTGGGGAAATGAGAAGTGTTCCCTCTCCAGGTGTTGAGGTGGGAAGTACAGAGCTTGCTAGCTTCTTCCTCCACAATGGGTGCTGAACTATCAGACCCAGGGAATTAGGGTAACCTATAGCCACCGTGTGAGCTAGTCATTGATAGTCAGGCTGTCACCAAATGTTTTATATAACTGTTCTCCCAAGATTTTAAAAGTTATATTATTAGTGAAACAGTTTTGAAATGGGTGAAGCTTCATTATATTTTTAAAATAATTGTTAGAAATGCAGGCTACAAAGCAGTGACAACGGAACCCTAATGGATTCTGTATTGCAATTCCATTGCAAATCGGTTAAAATGAAGATACTGCTGTCTGGTTAGCTAGGATGAGCTCCTAAGTAGTGCTTTTGTCTATGAATAACTGTTCCATACATAACACAAAATAGAAGCTAGAGGTTTTTATCAAAGTGAAACACAAAAAGAAAGCCAATGAAATTGAACACGCACATGCACACAAAAGACATTGTACCTTTGCATGTTTCTTCTTTAAAGAATTTAGCTCTTTCTGTTGTTTCTTTAAATGCTTCAAGTAAGCCTGTGGGGGGGGGGAAAGAGAATCCAAAATAAGTTGTGTGTGCATGTGTGTGTTTTGTAGTCAGAATGATTGTAATTGGAGAGAAACAAAAATATTTTGGTTTTACCAACATGCATAATACAAGAGTGTCTGCAAAATGGTCCAATTACCTTCATCTGCTTTAAATCTTCTATCCTCACTTGAGGGATAAGTTCAATGCCTAAAAAAAAGTCATTAAAAGTTACTGTGCATATTAAAAATCAGAAATGATAACCGTTCATCTGAAATTTACAGATTGGAAAACTTATCTAATGACTTTGAAGCAGAATTATATGTAATGTTATGGATATAAACACCTTAAATTCCTCTGATACAGCATTTAAATAGACCACTGAAATGCTTAGTATCTTAGGCTCCCTACAAGAAGAGCCTGAGAAGTCTCCTTCTCACAGACAAGATTTCTGTGCACATGACATATTGATGGCAGACTCTCAGAAGAAATCCAAAAGGGAGAGAGAAAGAGGGAGGATAGGGCACAGGAAGAAATGGGGTGTACTTCTAGCAGAAATGTACTCTCAGCCTGATCCCATGTATAAATGGCACTCTTGAGAGTCACTCTACCAGGATGAAAGGAAGGTGGGCTTTTGTGACTTCAGATGAGTCAGATGAGAGCTTCAGAGGTTTTATAAAACCTTTCAGTTAAGAGAACTCCCATGGCTTGGGAAAATTTCTGGAAAAGCACCGCAACTAAGGTCAACATTCTTAGCAGTTGGTAGATGGGCTAAGCAACTCCAAAAAGGGATCTGATCAGGCACAATGTCATCTATTACAGTTACTTTAATCATCTGCATTTCAAGGCATATAATATCAGTCAACTAACTCTCAACTCTATTTCCAAACTTAATCATCATCAAAGAACAAATGCTTTTTTTTTCAGCATCATTCTTTTAACAAATTTCATCTTTGTACATTAGTAACTATAGAGTGGAGCAACATACAGGACATAATGAAAATTATTGTATAACAGGATGCTGCCATCAGAACCTACATTAATGCAATAAGTCAGCCAACTATCTGAGTAAAGCTAGCCCAGGTGTTGTTATGGCAACCACCATTGCAGAAGAATCTGAATCCTTAGTGGTTTCTGTTCACAGATTTTCATTTGGGGCCAACAAAATGAATGTGTCCTCTGCACTGTAATTGATTTCCATTAGAATCCCAAAGGCCAGGGTAGGATACATTCAAGAAACATCCAGCATCAAGTCCCAGGCCAGTATTTCTCTGACTTGGCTCATTTTAAGATTTGCACATCCAGTATGAGGGTGAGAAGGCTGCAGTGACAGAGTCTTGATCAGGGTTGTTATCTATAACATTTTAGGAGAGGAGTGTGAAGGGTTTGCGGGGTCCCCCTCTGATGTCTTGTGTCTGAGATCACAAGCCACCTTCCTGCTTTTTGGCAGAGAGTAAGTGAAAAGGTGGTGTAGGACAGGGAACTGAATCCTGGCACAGCTAATAGCTCTTTACCCTTGAGTCTCAGTTCTCTAGCCTATAAAAGGAATATGCAGGATTTGGGAGGCATATAAGATTCTTCAGAGATCTACCAACTACTATATAATCTTGACCCAGATGAGTAGATTTTCTTTTTTCTAAATATTGAGAAGCAGGAACCTGCAAAAACTTACACTTCCCTCAATAACATTTATTGGAGAAAGACACAAATAACTTATAAAATTTTTGGTTCCTATAAATAATCTAATTAGAACAAAGAAACACACATTTTACAGATAAGAAAACTATATATACTCAGTTCTATCTATTTGCCTAGAGCAGTGTGATCAGTAAAACTTTTGTAATTTTTTTTCTTCTTCTTTTTTTTTTTTTAGTTGTAGATGGACACAATACCTTTACTTTACTTATTTTTATGTGGTACTGAGAATCAGTGTCTCACACGTGCGAGTCAAGTGCTCCACCACTGAACTACAACCCCAGCCATGGGTAGAAATTTTGGATGACAATGGAAGTGTCCTATGTGCGAGGTGTCCAATAGAGAGCCACCACCTACATGTGTGGCTCCTGAGCACCTAAAATATTGCAAGTGTGAATAACAAACTCAAGGTTTAATTCTCAAGCTTCAATGAAATTAAATCCATTAAAAAGCCACAAGTGGCTACAGGTCTCTATCTTGGATGGTGGGCAATTACAGGATTCTCTGGTAGGAAAGTAGGTCAAGTAGCACATTTCAGGCTCCAAAGATTCTGGCTAATTGAATTTCCACTATATAAAGTTTCGTTCTTATCAACATAGTTCCTCTAAAATCACCTGTTTTCTCTCAATCCCTAATTTGAAAATTAACTAGGAACTGAGTAATTTCTTTTTACTTCTTTGTCTTTAAAATGGAAAAGGTTATGAAGCAGCATGGGTGCAGTCACTGCAAATCCAGGAGAAGCACTCTGAGACCCTCCCAGCCAGCGCCTCACCTTTGGAGAGGAGAGGAATCCACTTGGCTGTATATTATACCCTTGCCACATGGGATTTCGCTCAGGGCCCTGTTTCACCAGCGCCTCTCTTTTGTTTTTTCCTTCTGTTTCTCTTCCTTAGTTCCTACTGACAACACCAGTGGTCCACCAGAGCCGGCATTCCATGTCTTAGGCCATATCAAGCTTTTTTAAAAGCCAGGTTCCCGCCCTCATCATCCAAGTATCCCTGGCTCCACAGTAATTTTTAGTTATAAGTTCCCGAGTCCTGTCCATAATTCCTTCTTAAAACGAATTCTTCTGTTTTTGTATTTTTTTTATTACTGCCTTTAGTTATACATAACATTGGGGTTCATTCTGACATAATCATATAAGCATGCGGTGTAATTTGCTCCACCTCAGTCCCCAGTATTTTCTCTTCTCCCCCCACTCTTCTTTGCTTCCCTTTCCTCTATTCTCTATATCTTCCTTCTATTTATTGTTTTTTTTTTTCAAATTTCAGTTTTATGTATATATACATAAAGCACTGGGAACTATTTCTTCTTTTTTCTTTCTATTTTCTCTTCATTCTGCGTAACTATTCTTATCACCCCTCCACTTGATCCGTCCCTCCTTCCTCCTCTTAATCTCCCACAGATGTATCAGCAACAGCTTGAACTTACAGATGTTCAGAATCAGAATTATTTTCTTCCTCTCAATGACTCTCAAAACCAGTTTCTCCTCTTAACAACTCCACTTTGCTTACCATCCAGCTCTGGGACCTCACCTTGAAGTCTCTGAGTTTTCACTGACCCTTTCCCTCCCCAAGGCTCATATTCAAGCTATTCTTCCTTCCTGTTTTTCCTTATCTTTCTTTTTACCCTTTTTCCTTCCTATTCTTCCTTCCCTTTCTTTTTCTCCTTCTGACTACTCCTAGCTCTATCCAGGACCTCCTTTTCTACTGTCATTCTTTCCTTAGCCACCTCCTTTCTAAGAAGAAATGTTGATTAACCCTTCTTAGACATGGTCCCAGAAACACACTGATGATGAGGTGGGTCTCACCTGTAAACCTTTTTCTCTGGTTGATAACACCCTATAAATATAAAATGATATATGCTGTGATAGAGGCATGATTCTTAATGAATCTTAGCATCCCGCCCTTTCAATTAATTCTTCTGCCAAGACAATACTATCTCCTTAAAATTCTTCATTCATTGCTGTGCCCCATCTCCTTATTGGGGTGATCCAAGAAACCTTTCCAGACCAGGAAGAAAGCTTGCCATGACCTATTAGCATTGCCTGTGCCCTCTTTCCCTGCACTGAATTGCTTTCCATCTTGTTCCTGCCCAGGCTGCCTTCTCTGGGGCTTCTCCATCCTTCTAAAACTTTCCATTTGAATCAGATTTATGTTTTAAGGTCCAGCTCGACTGGGACCTTACCCTCCTCCCCACTTTCAGGTGTCCTGAGTAAGCTGCCCAGATGAACAATAGGGAGACCCTTCTTGTCAGAGCATCCGTGGGGAAGAATAGAGCAGAGTGACAGCTGCTTGGCTCCTTCAAATGCAGACTTCTTGGGAACCAAGGTAAAGCAGCTCTAAACACAAGCATGTTCCCTCTGGAACAAGGATCATGGCTGTCTTAAGTTGGTCACACTCTTTCTCAGGCTACCTAACACCCTATAATTTCTAATGTCTTTATGTATTGGTGGATGTGAGACAAGAACTTTAACACAGCTCCCTCATTTTCCACTGTCCATCTCTGTCTGAGAGGCTAATGTTCATAATGACCAGGGCCAGTATGCAATGCCCAAAGCCTGTGTCATTACATTGCTCCATGTTCTTTTCAAGAAAGAACAGACAAACAGCTGCAGGACCAGGGCAAACTGAGATACTTTGTGCCTTCTCATTTTCTAATTTGTTTCACAAAGCTCAATGCACATTTTCCCACTAAATTGCTTTGGATTGGAAAAGTCTGTCACTTCTTAATTTTAACTGCAGCACTGTGTGTACATAAGTGTAAGAAAAACTTGATTTCCTTATATTGAGGACACTGAAATCATGCATAAATGAATAAACAAAACTGACAGTAAAAATCCATAAGGTAAAAGAAAAATTCTTATTGCTGTAAGAAGAGTGACTTTCGTAAATGATTCAAGGTCAAGGAGGATATTTAAAATGTTTAATTATCAGTGTAGGATGAGCACCATTCAATCAGAATAGAAGTCTAGCCAATTAGAATGAAAGCCAACTTTAAATAACCAGCCCATTTGGCTGGATACTAGCACATGGGACATAATATTGGGTGATGATACCTCTCAAGAGCTTTTGTTTCATCCGTGGGTAACCAGGTGGAAATGGCTTTCAAATGTCCATCTGATAATGCCACAAATAAGTAAATAATCATGAGTGCTAAATATCTATGCATGGTGATTGGGAGACATATCAATGAAGGAATTTTAGAAATGTCCAAATAGTCAACAATATTGGTTCATGAGCCCATTGCCTATCAAGAGAAGCACAGTATCCGTAGGACAGTGGGAATGAGTTAGCTACTAACATGACTATGTCAGAGGCTTTTTTTTTTTTTAATCCACAAAGGGCACTGAACTAAAACATTTTCTCAAACTATGGATGTTGCATCCCATGTAACTAAGGTACAGAGGCTCTAGTAGTTGAAGCACAAATGTTCACTCCATATATATATATATATATATATATATATATATATATATACATACATATTTTTTTTCTTTTCTTTTGAACTCAGGAGTACTCAACCACTGAGCCACATCCCCAATCTTATTTTGTATTTCATTTAGAGACAGGGTCTCAATGAATTGCTTAGTGCCTTGCTTTTGCTAAGGCTGGTTTTGAACTCTTGATCCTTCTGTCTCAGCCTCCAGAGGCACTGGGATTACAGGTGTGCACCACTGTGCCCAGTTTTCACCCCCTATTAAACAGGGAAATTAAGTACTTTGTCTAATCCATAAGAAAATGTGCTCCTTTGCAGTTTTAAGATCAAGTGAAAACTGGCAAAATTAGTGATTCTAAATCTCCTTATGAAAGACAATTTTAATAGCGGCTCCAATTGCCAGAAGAGGTAAGGAGCCCCACAACTCTACTGCACCTTTCTTGGCTTCCACGCCGGGGCCCAGGGCGGCTGTAGTGGTGGGTCTGAGCTCGGAGCTACTCTGAGGGGTCACGTTGGCTTTGGCTGGGTTGGCCTTTCCTTTCTTGTCATTCTTGGAAGTGTCGCTGGGCACATCGGCTATGTCACTCTGGAACAAAAACATTCAGACTGACCCAAATGAAAGTCACCCAAGACTGAATATCTTACACATTGTTTTAATGGGTTCCATCTAGCCTCAGCCTCTCCTGTTCCCCTGCCCCGGGGTTTTACTCTCTGAAAGGATCTTTGCCTGGGAGGAGTAGAGAGGATACTGATTCCTTAGGCATAAGGCAAAGGATGGAGACAAGGAAAGATAATGGTACACCTTTCCAGCTCCTGGAGAGAGGGCTGCTTCTACTCTAAAAGGAGGAGTTTGGCCAAGAAAACATTTAAAAATAAAAGAATCCACAAAGCATGAACTGGAATGGGAGGCATTGATACAAGGGTTAAAAATGAAGAAGCAATCACAAATGCTGTCTTCATTCATTCACTGAACTGGGTTAGTTGGTTCTTCAAAAGCATTTTATATTGCAAATTGCTCTAACATCATCACAGATGTTTTCCATTTCATTTCTAATGGGGCAGGGGTCCTCACATGTGCTAAGCTACTATCATTAAAATGGCTTTTTCTGATGGTAGCCACATTTTACTCAATAGCCTATACTGTTGTAGACCCTTGAAATTATTAGGAAATCAATAAGCTCAGTTTTTAAATCCCTTTCAATAATTTATTACTTTGTCTTGCTTTTGTAATCACGGTTTAGTGACCAAACTCCCCCACCTTGACTATATCTAATCAACATGTCTACTTACAGTTTCAATGCCCATAGCTCTCATTTGGTCTGCTCTCTTTTCTGTAATTGAGAGAAATTTCTTTGGATCTGATAAAGCATCCACAATATCTGAAAAAGAAGACGCAAGAGCCGTCAATTCTCTGTCTTACTGAAAACATCAAGAAAATACAGCTAATAAATTCTCCATAATCCTGGACACCTGTGAAGCTTCCCATTAGGAGTCTTCTCCTAGGATGAAATCCATGGGTATAAAAAGCACAGCTAGTTGCAAACAACAACAACAAAAACAAGAAATAAAGAAAGGCAAGAGTCAAAGACCAAATGACTTCCTCTGCCCTCTTTGTTGTTCCCCAAATAATGAAGATGGAGGGCAGGGCAAACCAAATGGGCTGCCATGGGCTCTTTGCATTTACTTTGTGTGCCTTTGAGCAAGTTGATTTATGCCCCCAGCACCAGTTTCCCCATGTGAAGATTGGGGTAGATACCACCTGCCCTGCAGAGTTAATGTGAGATCAATGAGATGATGAATGTAGAAATATGGGAGGTGCCACTAACACTATCTTATTTTAAGATTCAGAAGGCTAATGTTTAGTTAAAGCTAATTTTATTTCCACGGTAGATAAACTGATATATTTCTCCAGTGTTTTCCCAGCTAGGACTTGCACTTAAAAAACAGTAAAATTTTGGGGCTAGGGTTGTGGCTCAGTTGCAGAGCGCTTGCCTCACACATGTGGGGCACTGGGTTCAATCCTCAGCACCACATAAAAATAAATAAACAAAGTAAAGGTATTGTGTCCATGTGTAATTAAAAAATATTTAAAAAAACAGTAAAATTTCATCTTTTATATAACATTGTTTGATGAGTTCCAAGTACTTTCAGAGTTTCATATAATTTTGCATAATTTACCAACATATAGAAGGAATAATTGCTCTTCCTAAAACATTCTGTAATTTACAAATTTTAAAAATGGCTTTGGTTTACATATTTTTCCCTAACAGAATCACTTTCCTAATTACATTTTTAAGATGAATTTTCTTAGCACATGGGATATATACTTCTGTTTAAATGTTTTCCTTTCCTCTTTTAAATACAAAATTAAATAAGCCCATGGTAAATGTTAAAGTGTATAAAGTAAAAAATTCCTGCCAATCCTATACCTCAAAGGTAAATATTGTTATTCATTGCCTGTATGCTTCTAGATTTTTTTTTTAAGACTCCAAATTGTTTCATAGTTTTCTGTACCAGTTTTTAAAATTTCACATATCTTAAAAATACTTCCATGTTGGCAATTTGGATCTTTTATGTTAGTTGTAAAAGCTGCTTAATATTCCTTTCCCTGGATAGCGGTAATCTGTTTAACCAGTTTCCTATCGGTAAACAATTGGGATCCTTTCAGTTATTTGTTATTAGAATACTGCTGTGGTGAATGTCCATGAACACTTCACAGCAATAGCTTTGTATGTGTTCAAAGGATAATTCCTAGAAGCTAGAACGGTAGCTAAGGAAGTGTATTGGCACTGTGGTTGTTTTTTGCCAAATTGCCCTCCACAGATGCTGAATCAAATTATTTTTTACTAGTAGTATATGATGAAGTCTAATTTTGGTTATCACAAGTGGCCCGTGAGAACATTTTGCCCCTTTTTTATGGATGTGGACAAATTAATTCTTCAACCTTGCTCAGGGAAAGAATCACAATTATTTTTGAGAATTAATATTTAGGAATTTACCTATTTTAACTCTATAGACAGGTGGTGTGTAGTTGGAGGAGCAGGTCACTGGAGGGAAAGTCTTTTGGGGTTATATTTTGATCCTGTTGAGTAGATCTCCTTCTTTCCTTCCCAATTGCTATGTCCTGAGCTATTTTCCTCCTCCACACCCTTCTGCCATGATGTTCTGCCTCATCTGGGATCCAGAACAATCGAGTCAACTGACTATGAACTGAAACCTCTGAAACCAAGACCCAAATAAACTTTTCCTGCTTTGAAATTGTTCTTGTCAGGTCTTTTGGTCATGGTGATGAAAAAGCTGACCATAACAAATAATAATATCCTATCTAACAAATTTGGCAGTGATTTCTTAGGATGACATAATACATAGTCCACTTTAATATTTTCCCCACTTAGAGTAGATTTGTTTGAATCAAGATACAAAGTCCACTCTATGTCACTGACATACTATGTCTCTGAAGTTAATCTCTTCTATTTGATTTTTATATTGCATGGATCCAAGACATATCAGGTGCCCTATAAAAATGTACCTTATTCTGCAATTATCTCCATTTTTTTCCAGCTCTAAGGCTTGACATTCTACTTTTACAAGAATACTTGACAGAAGGTGCTGTGAATTCATATGCATCACATGGAGGGACATAAAGCCTGGTTGTTCCTCTTGGGATGGTAAATTTATCCAGCAGGCTCATCTTGATCTCTGCATCTCTATAAAATCTGGCTCTTTCCCTTCACAACCAACTGCTGTCCCTCATGGTAATACTTTGCACCCAACAATACTGTTCACGGTATTGTCATCTCTCTTCAGTTGCATTTCATAATGAGGACATATGAAGCTATGAGAGCTCCTCTGATGCTGACTCAGCTCCTTCCTGCACTGGATCCCTATGCTCTGTGGTCACTCGTTATCTACCATTTTGACCAAGCCGGACTTTTCAACTGTGTCTGACTCCCAAATGCCTCTTTGTCTTTTCAACCACACTCTCAAAGGGCAAAGTGAGGTTTAACTTGTGTCCACTTAACTACCTCATCTTTCTCTGGATGAGAAGGTCTCCTCCAGTCTAGGCCTTTCCCTACTCTGACACATCAGAGACACTTTGCTTTGTGTTCAATCCCAATAGCACATTTCAGTAGGTGATCCACAGGGATGGCTTCTTAGGAAATATGTACTTGCTTGTCTTTAATGATTGCATGTACAATTTGAAGGCCTGAAGAGAGTTAATGACATTTTTGAGGGGTAACTGGAAGTCCTACCATTAGGAATAACAGATAATGCTTTAGTCACTTAAAACCAGTTAAAGCAAGGCACTGAAGAATCAAACAATCCATAATCCTTCCATCTTCACAAACTACTGTAGTTTTTGCATATTTTGCTATTACTTTTGAACCTGAGTTCATGTTTTACATAGTTTCCTTAAAGTCATATAATCAGCTCTTTATTTATTTATTTATTTTTAATAAAAACTTGTTTAACTTTCATGGAACAAAAAAAGGTGATTACAAAAGGACTAAAGGTCAAAGATAAGGCTAAAGTTACCAGGTTATTGAAAACGGTTGTTTTATTCCTGGGAAATTTCAAATAACAAATTAAGATACTTTTAGAATATCTAATTTTGTCATGCAGTGGCAGGTACTTATTCTGCAGTTAGAATTATAGATCTATGCAGAAGGGAAACAACTGAATGATCAGGAAAGTTCCAATCAAATTTTTCATAAAAGTGTTCAGCACTAGGGAAACCAGGCATTAGCCTCTTTTCTATAATTTCCGCATTTTAACTCAATTTGTCCTCTGACCAGAGGCATGAACATCTGAGATATTGAGACAGATAGATAGAAGGATAGATAGCTATGTAGATAACTGATAGATGACAGAGTGCCACACACCAAAAAAGGAAATTAATTTTTAATAGTCACATTTAAAATAATGTGTAACTAGGAAATCAGAAGTATTACCTCAAATTTAAATACCTATATACTTGGATAAATCTATATGCAAATATTATTTATTTATTTTTCCTTGCTTTAGCACAGAAAAATGATTTGAAGAAATGCCTAAATAAATCTGGCATATTCTTAGTCAACATTTTGCATATGCAAGCAAACATAGTCTTTTTCTTTGGTGCCAATATGACATTTTACTGGGCTCTGTTCAGTTGGTTGGGGGTGAGGCCAGTGTGGGTGCGTATATCCCATTTAGGTAAGGGCCCCTCAGGGCATTGGCAGGAGCTGATTTTAAATGCTGATCAGCATTTGTTAGCAGGTGAATATGTCTAGCCTAGCCACACTGTACACCTTGACAGGGTACAGAGCTGCACACACAAACTCCTCACTCTGCAGAGAACCCACAAGGTAAGCTAAAATATTCTCGACCCTCTGAGGCCACAGCAGGGGCTCTGGAACCTGCCTATTTAAAAAGAAACCAATTTGCTTTATCTCATGTGCTTTTTTCTTCTAGGTTTAACTGAAGTTTTGCTTTTCTGTATTTTTAAAAAAGTACCATCTATTTCTCTCTTTTGGTGAAGACTCCATATATACTGTGCTTCCTTTTCCCTCCCTCTCTCCCACTCTTCCTTCCTCACCTCCATATAGAATTGAAAGCATCAATTTAGGTGTCCCTAAGCATTAAAGAGAAGATAGCAATCCACTAATATAGACTTTGAGATACTCTGTTTTGGGAAGAAGTAAGGTTTTTTAAATGTGTTTGCTTAACCATTGTTTTTCAAGGAATTTGGGTGTCTTGGTACTGAGCACCAAGACTCCCCCTTGTCACTCCTCTGTGTCTGTTTTTGGCTCAGGTTCCCTCAGAATCTCCACTCTATTATTTCTGTAATCAAGAGACAGTGGCAGAAGAGAAACACATTTTCCTATTGGCTGTGAAGTGATGCTAATAAAGATCAACAAATCTCACAACAAATCTCATAACCTTCTTACCTTCTACCAAATGATTAGCCATTTGCCACAATAATAGATCTTTCATTTTGCATTTCCTACAATAACAGATTTTTAAATAGGTGTTCAGGGCAATAGTATCCGTTGGTCAAATATGACTGGGAAATACTTATGCTCTCTCTTCTTGTAATATTCATAAGACATCTCAGGGCACTGTATTAAGGAGCCTATATCAATTGCTTAATATACAAATATCCAGTGAACTTATTTTTTGTTGTTTGGTTTTTTGAGTGTTGGAGATTGAAGCCAGGGACTTGCACCTGCTAGGCAAGTGCACTACTACTGAGCTACATTTCCAGCCTCTCCAATGTATATCAGCAGAATCTATCCTGCTTCCTTCCCCTCCAGATCTATTCTTGGAATTATTTTTCTTTTTTCTTTCTTTTTTTTTGTGGTAATGTGGATTGAGCTCAGGGGCACTCTACCATTGA